TCAGTGAGTTCATCAGAAGGGTTCTAGCATAGCAATCTCCACAAGCTCTTCCACAAAGAATTTAGCTGAACGAAGCAGCAAAGCAATCATTTAATCATTCTACATGGCCTTGTTTTCTGCAAGTAATGCTCTTATATTCTGATCAAATATTGTCGCCAAAGATTCCCTGGCAAACTTCCTGCTACCAATATTGAAAGAAAGATTTATTTTTTTTTTTTTTGCCTTTTGCAAGTTTTTTTTATCCTGCTTTATTGTGTTCCACTTTTAACTTACCAGACTTTATGATCCTTTCTATTTTCCTCATTTGGATACAACTTTGTTTTTTTGAAGGATGCCTTCCTGCTGTTTCGTCATGCTGAGTTTCTTCTTTTTCAAGTCTTACTTGATGTGTGGCATGCATTTACTCTGTGTCTCCAACGTGATATTCTTAATACTCTCTAGGACACCTGCAAAGATTTAACTCTCTACAGTGTCCTCTTTAGCGTCTCTTTAAGAGGCTTCCTCAGTTTTATGTTGCTCCCCTTTCTGAATTTGACTGATGTTTTTGACACTCTACTGATGTTTTTTGGTTGTTGTTGCTTCTTCAGAGCTATCAAAGCTAAGAACATTTTATTTGCAGCTACAGAAAAGTCCTTCAAATATCAGTGCTTTGGAACAGATTCTGTATGCTATTCAGAATGACATCAAGGGTTAATTCTCTCTTTGTGGGTTCTCTAATCTGTTAATTATGAAGCAGTCACTGCTCCTAAGTGAGTTAGTCTGAGCAGCACATTTGTCCAGTTTACATAGTCATTTTTTGCTCTTGCAATGTTTATGACTCCCTCAACATATCAGTCAAAGCTACCTTCTGGCTTCTTGGTTAGTAATATGTGTCTGATCGCATAGTTATACACTTGAAATGCACAGGAATTCTGCCTCACTCACTGAAATGATTAATTTGTTCATCTGAATTTACTCCAAGTTTTCTTTAACAAACTGCACTACTATGCCACTGGCATGGCCTACTCAATCTTTCCTGCATATTGATATTTTTGTTATAGCAATGTCCTCATATAAAGTTGGGCATTCTTAGTTTCCACATTTTATTTCTATATCAATGCTAGAAACCCAAATAGGATGTGTCTCATTGATCTGTTTTTCTCTTCTGTATCTTCTAAAATGGTACTTTGTTCTGTTTTTTCTCCATTTTATGTTTATTACCATCCCAGGACAGTTCAGCGTGAAACCTTAAATACTGGTATTCCAGATACCAGAATGAAGTCTATTTTTAAATATTGATAATGTTATCATATGGTTGCATAAGAGGAAACATCGCAGACATAACTACATAACTGGTACTAAGACATCAAGGAATGCAAAGGTTGCTGCCCTGGATAAACAGGTTTTAAAATGTTACAAGAAATATTGGCATCCAGTATGCAAAGTATTACTTTTCTTGAGTCTAACACTAATGCAAGACCTTTTTACTTTGGGAACTATAAAATCTAGTCCATCTCCCCTAGTATACAAGTTCTTATTTATTAAACATTATCATTGGTTACCTTCCAAGGCCACAGTGATTCAATCTGTGTCATAGATATTTGTGTTGGGAGAAGACAAGCCAGTCAGAGGCTTTCAGGCTAAACTCTAGAGTAAAAGAATTACTACACCATGGTATTATGAGTGAGAGGTGAGTGTGACTATGTCTACATGCAGACTTACTGAACTGTAGTAAGTACCTAATTGAATTATGATACGGCTATTGCACAGGGAGAACAGATTCCACATTGTAAAGGATTTTGCTATTTCAAACTGTGGTTTCATTCCAACACAGGTGTATCAGTGAGCAACTGAAATTAGAGCAAGTTGGTTTCCTATGTATTTTTTTTCTTGTGGCTGGATTCTCTGTGTCAAATTAAGTGTGAAGCTCCCTTGCAGCAGGTCATTTATAATGGTTGTCTTTAGACAGAGGGGTAAACTCACTCTGCGACCCTCCTCTTAGGGGAGACACTACCAGAACCTCTCCTCCACACAGCTGGCTGTTTCCATCTGTAGCACTGCTGTAGCACTGCTGTGTCCTTAAGAGCCGTATCTGTTCTGTCAGGTTTGACTGAAACTGGCAAACAAAGTTTGTTAGGCAGTAGGAAAAAACACACACAGCACCCTTGCACATAAACATTGCCTTCTTAAGAAACCAGGACAAAATCCAGATGGTTGGAAAAAGGTGGTAGAGCCTTGCCACCGGGGCAAAGCTCTTCCAGAGCCACATACACAGAAGCACCATAATTCCTCATGGCCTGTCGAGCCCAAGAACCCGGCCAGCGGGACGGTAAGGGAGGATGCACTCCAGTTCACACAACCGAGAGAAACTTAGTCTGGCAGGAACCTAGTCGAGATCAGATCATACCCAGAGAGCATTTTGATTATGACAAAAAAAGGTGAATTATGATGAAAAAAGCAAATTCCAAGTTCAGTCTAGGAAGCAGCCAGTGAGAAAAAAAGCGATTGGTCTCTTCACTGGTCTGAAACATTAGCAAAAGGAGAAATATTACAGCCGATGCAACAAGCAAAACAAATGAATAGAGGTAACATTACGGATTAATTTCCATTTTTTACACTGCTGCTTGAAGTTGAGAAAATTTTGTGTCAGATAATGCTTTTGTGTTATGTGAGAATCAAGCCTACAGTTCGCTGTAGGAAGTGTATGTAGGGGGAACCTTACAGTTCTTCTGTCAGAGATCAGCATACCGCTATGGAAATTTTAAAGTGGTTCCTGTCTTCATCTGTAACCTATTTGCTTTTATCCCACGATTTTGTTGTCTATACATCATATACCAAACAACTGCCCTGCTGATAGTTGGAGGATCTGGACGTTTTAGGGCTCAGTCATTAAAACTTTTACCATGATCTCTTATGGCAGCCATAGATGTGCTTTTCATAAGGAAACCTGACATCTAGGGTCAGGATTCCAGAGACCAGTCTGAAAATTGACAGACCCAACATCCCATCTGATTTCTTCCTTCTGTCAGGAGCGGAGAGTCACCACAAGTGCTTTCACTTCCTTTTGTAGTTTTAGATGTAGACTGCCCATCCTCAGCTTTTAAGGCATGGGTAGCTTGACTTTACAAACAACTCCGGAAGAGGAGTCTGGATTTTTAAAAAGTGCTTGATAATTTGCTGGTGTTGTTATTCAATGAACTATTTTGTGAATAATGCCAAACAGCAAAGGACACTCAGTTTTTAGGCTCCTCATCTTGGTTACTTTGATTGACATGTTTATGAAGACACAGTTAACAGAGGACCACCCAACAGTGGCCAAATGCAGAACTTCCACATAGGAAGCTGATGAGTTTTCATAGTTAAAACAGCATCAAATGGTTCATTAACTAGAATGACTGATTGCGTTCATAACTTTGGAGCCTACATTTAGTTTAGTCTCTATCACTTGGATCAACTTTAACTGAGACAAAATATCCCTTTAAAACTATTTCACAGAAGCAAGTGGGACAAGGAATACATGTGACACAATAATCCTGAAATAAACCAGAAACTTGCCTCCAGTATTGTTTACTATGTGATAAGTACTTTTCAAACACACAAAAGATAATACCTACTCAGGCAAGCTCAACTAAAGAATTCACCGTTGCAGAATGCATTTAAAAAATCAAAAATTAAAAAAAAGCAAACTAAAATAATTAAAAAAAAAAGCAAATACAATTGCCATTTGCTTTTACAAAGGAGTTTCTGAGACTGAAGAGGTCTGTTTCAGGAAGGCAAATTGCAGTTCACCTCACTGCTTATGTAAGATAAAAACCATATGTACAGTATTTTAATGACCAAATTCGCTTGCATAATACTTTCATTTCCTTCCCTCCCCAAATCCATTAGCTTAAAAAAACATTCTGAACAACTCATAGTAATAGCAAAGAGCTCTAACAGCAAGTTTAAGTCAATTCTATGCTGAGTGTTCAAAATATTAAATGTTCTCATGTGTGCATTCAGTGAATGTGAGTTTGCATGGGCTTACATAGTTCCCAGGGAATTCCAGTTCTGCTACAAAGTTCAGGCAACTGGTGTGCCGCCCCATGGTCTAGATAGCACTGAACATGGAACAAGCACAATAAGTTTTTAGTGGTGTACATTACACAACCAAAGAATATACACTGATAAGTTCAGATGGAAACTGCAATCATTTAAAACTGCAGTAAACATTATTTTTCAAATATCTGGTACTTATGGTTTGATAAATTGATACATTCATGGTTACTGCTGCTGCCTACAGAAATTTCACTTGAGTGATTCTGCCAAGACCAGATATCAGGATCTTTAGTTATGGCTTCCCTCTGATCAGGGAAAAAAGTAAAAATCCTTCTAACTCATTCACCCACAGCACTGAAATGAGCATTATTACAACTGGAATTTGTGACTACTCATCATATTATGTTTGGTTTTATGTGAGCAGTGAAACAGTTAACAATACTGATAATTGAAATATCAGTTGCAATGCAGTTGGAACAAAATGAAGTAAACAAGGCTATCGACAAGCTGCTGTTGTTTCAAGCTCTACAAACATAGAGCAGAAGTGTCTCCACAAGACAAATTTCAGTTACATTTTCCATTTTTTATTGACAACTGTAATAACTCTTAAAAAAAAAGTTCAAACTCTAGGGAATGACTGAGAATTATCCTTTCAGACTCTAAAATGATTTTTTGAAAGGCATCCCTTGCAGTTCAGGAGGCATCGTTCTAAGATATCTTCTACAAATTATATTCAAATAAACAGTAAAATCTTCTCCTAATAAAATTCCAGAGCTACATTGCAAAGTAAGAACAAAGTAAAAACAATGGAATAAAATATCTTTTCTTGCAAACGTTAACATCAGAAGGGAAAACTACCATCCTTTTTCTTACTGATTGCCAAGTATTGGAGAATAGAATAACGCTTCTAGATTGTCTTCATATAATCTAGTTTTCAGATATCATCAGTTTCCATACTGGAGGTAATAAACTCTCAAACACTGCTAATCTGCATACAGGTAGAATTGGTTTTTTCCTAGTTCTGCATTGTTGCTGTCATGTTTCTTGCTGTCAGTTTGTCCAGAAAGCTCTACTTCTAGAAACCTACCAGAATGCTGGAAAATTTGTACAAGGGGCATTAAGCTATTACCTCCTTCCTATCGAAATCTCTAGCATGACCTTTCTGGGAATGACATTAAAATATGAACAATCAGTATGTGTGTATGCACATGCTATTACTGAAAATAAATATAGCAGTAGGTAACATAATTCCTGAACATCTCCACAAAGAATGCCGTCTAAGCAGTGACCTCTCCTGCACTTATCTTGAATAAGCTCTTACTGAAATCTGCTAATGGGTTCTGATAATCTATTATTTATTGCAACAGACTCTGATAGAGAGTCTTAGCAGAGGACTCTCCTGTGTTTACAACAATTTCATCTAAAACCTCTCACAAGTGACAGAAACGTGGCACCTTCAACTACAGATACCATTTCTTTTGGTTGCAGTTATTTCATTTCTATTTTCTTTTAAAAAACAGAACTCTTCTTCCCCCGAAATACACAGCTTGACCTGCTTTCATATAACCTAGTGCATCTTTAGCTTGGTCTTACAGAAAGCTGTAGATACTGATATGCAACTATAAGTATTACTTGGGCTTGAGGACATACCTCCATGTTATACTTTTCCACTGTCCTTCTCAAAGGATCCACAACCTGCCAGCAAATCAAGATGCAAAGATCAATCAGTAGCATCCCTCCAACTATCACCAGTAGCTTCTGGTCTTTAATGATCTGGAAAAACAAAAAAAAAAAAAAAAAAAAAAGGGAGGAGATTCCCATGAGCCATAGATAGATCCCTGTACAGCTTTATTCCTACATAGGGAGAAAAACACAGGTTTGCTAATAAAAAGGTTTTTTAACAATGAACAAAGAAAAGTTTCAGAAATATCAAAAGATGAAAGGAGGAAGACACAAAATTATTTTCATTTGTTTCATGTTTATTAGAAGTATCTAAAGTGCATTCTGACTTCTAAAAAGAAACTGGGGGGACTCTTAAATATTAATATTGAAGTCCAGGTTTAATGTTAACTCCTGGAAAATGAAAAAAATATATTCTAGAGAGCCACTATTGTGTTTCTGTATGCAGATGTGGAAAAATGTTCAGTACATCTCACAGAGCAGCAGGAGTTAAGAAGGAATTTAGTTTTCACTAAGATTTACAGTGTTCACTTTTTCATAACCTTCTTGGATGTGGACAACAAACTTGCAAGGTATTAAAAGACAAGTTCATTTTTGAGGCGTTTTGTGTGTGTGTGTTTAACATTTGCCTCTGTTACCCAGGGAGCAGAAAGGGATGATATGTGTTTTCTATATTACAAAAGTTAGAGGCTTTTATGCACATGTAACTTAAAACGTTTTTAATTTTGCATGAATTTTAGGTTCAAAAAGGAAACTAGATTTGCTAATAAAAAGAACAATCCAAACCATGTATTACAGTCTTGTATAGCTGCATGCAATCCCTATATTATTTCTACTGTTATACACATAGCAACACAGAAAAAATACACTGCAAGTACAATATTTCAGTTGCAAAGTTGTAAACTTGTTCAAATATCAGGCTTCAACTAACTTTATGTCAGTCCTCTTGTGCCTATGTTCGTGTTTTTTAAATTAATATATACTTCTATTACTAATGAACACTCATCCAATATTCAAAAGATATTGCCAAATTGTTTTAACATGGACAAAACCCACATATTTTTCCCTAGTTTTGGTTCTCAGAAACAGTTGGTTTAATCCAAATGAAATATTCAAAAATATTAAGCCTGAGCAGCTTAATAAAGCTGTGATTATTTCAGTTCAGTTTGATAAACTTGTTAGGATTTTGAAAATGCATTACAAAGCCAGAAGTGTCAGCTGATCTTAATACAGACAAGGCTGGTATTCCTGCCTAGAATAAATTGTATTTGCATTGAATTCCTATTAAGCTTAAGGAAATGATAAAAATGAATACAGTTTGAAATAATGTAAGAAGAACTTTAGAAAGGTTGTTTTTCATGTTATTGAGTGAGATACATTATTTTGAAAGATGTTTCTGCAATATTGTGCGCTGCTCTTTGTTAATCTGCTAGTTTATTTTAGAAATCATTTGGAGTAAACTAAGTGTAGAACTAAGGCTAGCAATTAGAATGACTTAAAGGACTTGATGCATTATTTTCATTTCCTGAGACCAGTTATTTAAATCCATGTAGCTCCTGTCATCATAAAGGACCAGAAAACGATGCTTTCCACATGTTTGCAGCAGTAATAAAGCAGTATGTCCATCTCATCAGAGAGAGCACAGGCATGCCTGGAGAGGAAGGGCGAAGGGGAAAGGTGCAGCTTTCATGGCGGTATGTGTTGCTGCTGGATGGTTTGGCAAGGAGAACTTTGCAAGGCAAAGGTGACTTGGTAGGAGGTGCAGGGGGAAGAAGACTGTTGCAATGGGTTTCCTCATTAAGCTAAAAGGAAAGCAGATATTAAGCAAAGATTCTCAGACACAGCTTGGTCCCTCGTCTTCTTTGGGAAAACATAACTATGCCTAACCTTTTAGTCGTTTACCAATTTACAGTCAAAGCTGGAAAAGGACTGTTAATCCCTGAGGATACCCTCTGTAGAAAAAGCCCATGCATTTTTTATCTCTTTTCGAATGCCTCTAAACAGGACTCGGGTGAAACATACGTAGTGCTGCTCCTAGTATGAGTAGACATAGGAGAGAAAACCACAGGCAATCAAGTCCAAAGGGAATTTGGATTTAGATGAAATTTAGACATCTCAAGCCAAATTTATTTTTCTCCCCCTTAAGTGGCTAGATAATTTGTTTTATTAGCATATTTTGGTTAGTCTTTCTTTTTAATTGATGAGTTTTATTTTACTGAAGTTGGCTGTTTAACCATTATGTGTCTAGCCTCTCTCAGTAGCCAGTGGGCAGAGACAGAAACCTTCAAAGGACAATTCATCCCACCTATCTTGGGTACAATTTAGGATCAGAGAAGTTAGGGTTCTGAAATGTGTCCTTCCCTTCCCCCCCGCCCCCATGAAGGTGTGAAGACAATTAACTTGAGCTAAAAATATGCATTTGAGAAACTTAAAGCTGTGTGAAAATAACCTGCCAGAAATGTTTCCCTCTGCTCTAATGAACCATAAATATTCCTTGTAAAAAACACCCAAAACATCAGTAATGGTGCCCTATCTTTCTAATGAAAATAGTGAACATTTTACCTAGGACAGGTAAAACATGAGACAACTAGCCCACTGTATTCTAAATTTATATGGACTATATTGATATTGAAAGTAGGGCTGCATTAGATGCAGATTTACCAACACCTGGCAGTATTAATCAAACTGGTACAGCAATGCCAGAAGCAAAAGAGTGAAAAGATACTACTAAAAGCAGTAATACTGATAATCCACTCACTAACAGCGTCAAAAGGAATCTCATATTAACACTTCCTATTCAGGATCACATTGCTAACCATCCTTCCTTGCTCTTGTGCATCTTTTATTTGTACCTGACCTTGCATTACTGCAGGTCAATATTAATATTTTAGTTCACATGTAAGTTTGGTAATCTTTTTTTTTTGAGCAGGTAATTATTAGAACAAATAAAAGCAGAAAGCCAGCAAACAGTGGAGCTCTTTCCTTGGATGCCTCTTGGAGCATTTTTTCCTGCGTTACATTGTGAATGGCCCTTTTCTGGACAGAAGGGGAGAGGTGCATAACAGCAGCTGTCACTGCCAGCAGGTATTATTCATCCCTTACTTCTGCCAGACAGCCAGGAGGAAGGCAAGCAAAACAAAGCCCGTAAGATAACCTGAGGAAGCGATCTGCACTACTGTAATGAGCTCTGTAAAACACAGCGCTACCAATGCTGCACGCAGGGTGAGCGGGCTGAAAGCAAGGCTCCTGAAGCTACCTCACACACCCACCACAACCCTGCTCTGCCCTTGGCAAAACCATTGCAGTAATGCAGCTCTGAAGCAGAACTCTTCACCAAAACACTAGCTTTTCAGAATGAGACGTTGAGATTCAATTATTTTTTAATGCTGCCAGTGACTAGCAGTTTGTCCTAACATAAATTTACTCTGAGAAATGCTGTTGGTATATCACTAACAGCAATTCCAAAAGGCTTGGTGATCTCCCCCCCTCCACCCTCAGGAAGCCCAGCTTTCCCTCTCCCCAGCCATCACTCCCACCCACCAGCACTCCTTAAGTTCAGTATGTTCACTCCTTGGGAAACACCAGATGCACTGAAGGAGTCTTGACTCAGATCTTGTGGCGAATCCAACAATTTCTTTGTCTGACAAAAGAAAGTAATGAGTGACTGAGGCTCCTTGCAATCAAATATATCATTCTTCTTTCAGAGGAAGACTCTTACTTTTTCCCTTTTTCATCCTCCTTCTAGCATACAGTAAATCAGCCTTGGGAGAAACGCACGGTAGCTAATAAAATCCGTTTTTGCGAGTGCTCCTGACTCCTTGCTGAAGTCAAGCTCTCATACAGCAGCATCTGTGAGTAATTTTTTCTACCATCTGTGATTGGATAGGTGAATCTGTCTCATCCTGGCAGATCTGCCCGCTGTTATAAATGCCATTGCTACCAGTCTGGACTATATATCTGGATATGAAGCTATCTGTCCTCAAAACAAATTCACTCAGAACAGAAACTTGTAGGCCATTTTCTCCTCAGCAACATCGCTGTATGAGCAAATCAAAATTTTTCTGAAAACTTGTGACCATGAAGACAAGTTCATGATCAAAGTCCTTGTCTTCCATGGACCTTGTGGTCTGATCACAGGAGATATAAAATCTGTCTAAAGCTCTGGGATGAAGTTTCTGCTCATGAAACTCTTGGGGATTTTCTAGAACTACCACAGGCTGTACTACCTGCCACAGCAACTTCAGCTGTCCATTTGGTTATTATTTCACAGACCTTTTGTGGGGCTTTTTTTCATTTGCTTTCTAAAGCACATCCATTGTGCCCTGCAGGACACTATCTTCAACCAGTTTATGGGATCACCTGGCAATTTGGCAAGCAACAGCAATTAAACATTGAGCTTGCTTTTTGTTGTTAAGGCTAAGGCAAACCTTTCATTATTTCTTACCTTATTAGAAACCAACTCTGTGAATGTATATGATATGGACCTTAAAGATGAACTCTGTTCTTAGCCAAGAACAAGGAGTCATATATGAGGATCTGCCCTCTTCTCCAGGATGCAACATTAGCTTTGTACTCTCTGAGTTCCACAAATAGCTTTCCAGCATGGATTGAAGAGTTCATTTCCTTCTGTCTTTTTTTCAGAGTTACTTTCTTTGTTACCAGGAACTTCACCTTCCTTTGTCAGAATAAAATATCTTTAAATTTTAAGGAAGATCTATTAGCTAAATCTTGGTAGTGGTTTTTTTGATTTTTTTTTAATTCATTGAATTCATAGAAGCATAGCAAGGCAGGGAGTATTTTTGTATCTATTTATAGGTTTTGAGATAAATATATATTTTCTTTTTCCTTGAAAATTTAGATTTTTTCTGTTTAAGAAGGCAATTCTGGTTTCTCTTATGTAGATCAACCCTTTCTAGTCTAGCTGACAGATCTGTCCCTTGCCTTCTGGCACTAGCTGGATAAACACTTAATGCTATTCAGTAACTTTTTTTTTTTTCAGTTGTCCCTTCCCCGGACTCCTGGGATGGAATCTGTAGAAAGAAACCCTTTTCAAAGGATCCCTCTGTGAAGCTTCCGAGAACTTATTCCATTAA